AAGAACCCAAGAGACTGAGCACCATGCATTTAAAGTGAAAACATTAATTTGAAATTTTAAAATGGATGATACTAAATTTCTTCCACCTTCCCAAACCCTCTCTTAGACAGCGTTGGAATTTTGGCTAACAGTTTTGGCTTTTTGTTGAGAATTTGTATATATTCACTGTCAAATATTAGGACAAAGGAGAAAAGCCTAAAGCATTTTTAAAACAGTTGTGGAAGAGGTTTGTACATGTGTTTTATTTTGAGAGACATAAGAGTAGTTAAGGTAAGGGGGGAGTCCCATTTTAGACTTGTTTATTTTGAGAATTGACTTGCTTTTTAAAGGAATTAAGCTTGTGTTTCATTTGCCACTGTGTGTGCCTTTTTCTAGAGGAATGTGACCTAAAGATAGCATACCTACTGTCAACTGCTGTCATCAAAATAAAAGGTGTTGCTGTTAAGAAAAAAATGCAAGAGATGTACTGCATTTCTCTGCATGAAATGTGTTCGACTTAAAAGACTGATTTTCTTAGGCAGGTTAATGGTTGTTCTTTTCTCTAAGCTGACTTAAAATGAGGTGGGCTAATAAACACTTTACCTTGATTTTCCAAGTATTAAAAAAAAAAGAAATTGGTGTCAGAGCCATAGAAGTGTGAGAACTCTCAGAAAGTGCTGAAACTTTATTCAGATTTTACAGTTTAATTTCCTAAAGTTGGCAGTTTTGGAAAATCTATGTGAAGGGATGTCTTGTAAGTGGCAAAAATAGTATTTTTAATTTTAAGTGATTTGCTCTGAAGTAATTGGATCACTAAACGTTTTCAAAACAAGCAAAAAGATTTTGCCTTCAGAAATGGACTTGTCTTTAATGAAAATTGTTCTGAGGGGCTGAAAATGAATTATAGTAAGGGGGTTAAGAGGCAAGGGAATGTCTTAAAAAAACAACAAAGGAGTAAAAAGTACTAGAGTGGGAGGATTTTCAGGCACTTTTACTTATGTGGTTGTAGTTGAAAATAAATCTGACCTGTATTCACCCAGTTAAGATTAAAGTAGAAACAGTTTATGGTACTTTCGGTAAAAGGTTTTCTTAGTAATAATAGGTTAGTTTTTTTGCCTTTAAATAAATTTTAAAATGGTTGATTCTTAACATTTTTCTGCACTGTTTGGAGGGAAAGTGGAAATCAATTCACTCAACATTTTAGTTTCCACCCAGAAAGTAGATCTTACAAATTCATAAATTATGTTTTCTTCACTGCTAGAGAATCTGTTGTCATTTAGTGCATAGTATTTCAAGATGCTTTCCTAAAGGACAGTGGTATTTGTCCATTGGAAGAGTGGTAGGTTCCTAGAACCCTTTATTTTCTGACCGAGAGTAGAAGGATGAAATTTTACTCTACTGCTTTCTCAGATGGAGAACCTTGGGGGAAAGAAGGGGAAGAATTGTAATTCCCATCACTAATTTATTCAAAGTATAGTTAACTGTTCCAAATGTAAAGTTTTAATGGCACAGCTTTTGGTGGAAAAGGAGCAAAACATTATTATAATTATGTTTTAGAGATGAAATACATGACATTAGCCATTGGAAGAATCTTGATTCTCGAGGGTTCTGAGCTTCTAATCTTTTTAAATTACCTTAATATAGGTCATTTGAATCCTTTTTTATGTGTTTGGGTACTTTTAAGGCTTATTTTTTAAGGGTTTATTCTAAACTTTAATGTGTAACAGCCATTTGACAAAGATACTATTGAGATAGGCTAGTGAGTATACAATTTTAAATTATTTTTAAAAATTTCAGATGTGGTTTAGTTGAGTGAAAAGGGGGGAGGACCAGCAAGTGGTGTGTGAAATTTGGGGATCTTTTTGTTGAAGGTGGACATTGGTTATATCTCTGTTGGTTTTTGGTGGTGGTAGGGTTGTGGGGATGTCATTAGAATAAATGTATGAACCAAAGACGTTGGAAGAACAGACATTTTGTCAGCTGTTAGGATTTGAATTCCGTCTTGTTCGCTCCCCATCCTCTTTAAAGGTTCTTAAAATGTGGCTAATGCCTTCCAGAAAGTGCAGCTTAGAATTTGGGATGGGAGTGTTAGGGAGAGAAAAGAGGAAGAAAAAAAGCAGCAGGGGAGACTGGAGAAATCAGACGAGTTAGTCCTGGGTTGGAAATTCCAGACGGGGAAAAAAGAGAGAGAGAGAGAGAGGAGAGATGGGGGTTGGGTGGAGTTCCCGCTTCCCTTTTAAAGAGAAGCGGCTGGAGGCGCACAGCGACCCCCGGGAGAGGGGGTCGCAGACAGCAGCTTTGGAAGACGGGTGGGAGACTGGGCGTAGGGCAAGGCTCCTTCGGCTGTCGGAGTTGCCTGCCTTCCCTTCCTCTTTTTCAAAAAGCAGAGAAAGTCGCGGCGGCGCTGGAGGCGCTTCCTGGAGAGCCCGCGCCCGCCCCGCTGCCCTGACCCTGCCCGGCCCGCTGCGGCCCCCGGCGGCCCCGCAGTCCCTGCCCGCGCCCCCGCGGGCCCGGGGCTCCC